GTGTGTGTGTGTGTGTGTGTGTGTGTGTGTGTGTGTGTGTGTGAAAGAGACAGAGACATAGAGACAGAGAGGAGAGAGACACACACACACACTCACAGAGAGGAGGAGACACACACACACACACATACACACACACACACACTCACACACAGAAAAAGAGAGAGAGGAAAAAAAAAAAAACTGTGTGACCCCAGGACAAAGAAAACAGGCACACACATTTCTCCAGTCTACCTCACATCTTTAAACGTGAGGCCCCATTCAATGACCAAAGGAGTTACCCAGAAACAGGCAAAGTGCTATCTGGAGATGTGAACCATGAATCTGGACCCTGTCCCCAAGGCCCCTCCTGAAGGCTTGATGGGAACTGCCCCATCCAGAAGGCTCCGCATCATGATCATGCCGCTCCCTCCTGGCAGCCAGGGCCAGAATGCAAGGCTGAGAAGGGGAAGGAGGTTGGAAAGACTTCTCAGCACATCACAGCCACCTCTGAAATGCTCAGACTTGGCAGCTCAATGCAGGCCCAAGTGCAGAGCTCCTGCCAGCATTCCAGATGTTGGCAGGCCGACAGGAGGTTACATCTGGTTTGCGTCAGGACTTTTTTTCTTTTTTCTTTTCTTTTTTTTTTTTTTTTTCCTGAGGAGTTAGCAGGTCCCTCCATACATGGCAACAGTCCCAGAGCTGCCTCTGGGTCAAATGGTGTTTTTCTGCCTAGCCAAAGCTGGGGGGTTGGTTTTTATTTTATTCTTCTGGTTTGGGGGATAAGGGAAGGGAAGCATGTTGATGGAGGGACACCAGGCAAGGAGGGATCTATACCATTAAAAAAAAGAAAAAAGAAAAAAGAAAAAAGAAAAAAAAAACCTGTTAAGATTCCATACCCCAAATAAAACTGATTCACCAGGGATAGGAGATTTTGTCCTGAGTGAAGTACTGGTGTAGAATTAAAGAATGGAAATGGACGATGTAGATAGATACAACCATCCTTATGTGTAGGTGACAAAAGGATTGTCCCAAGGGGCCCCCAGACCTACATCAAGCTCGAGAGAGTCAGCTAAAGAGGGTGGAGAGTAGCCCGGGGATTCATGTGACAATCCCAGTCTGTTGATTCTCTCGATTCGCTGTCCTTTCACAATCAGAATGGCTTTGCACAGAGTCTCTGGTTCTTCTTGGTAAACATGAAATGTTTTTAGGCTCCGAGTTCAGGGAGTAAGGAAGAATTTGAGGTGGGGGCGGGGTAGGGGAAGAGGCAAGTATCCTACCCCTAAACTACAGTCCCAGCCCTACAATCTCTTTCTTCTTTTTCTTTTGTTTGGAGACAGGGTCTCATGTAGCCCAGACAGGCTTCAAACTCGCTCTATAGCTGAGGCTGGCCTTGAATCCCCTTCCTCCTATTCACTGCCCAAGTATTGGATTATGGGCAGGTACCACTATAATCTGGCCCCCAGACCTCATATTATTTTTCAGTTTTGTTTAGGAGCTTTTAAAGAAAGGAGTTGCCTCAGGAGATAGCACGCCCACCCTACAGTCCCAGAGTTTTGATATGATGAGCCTTCAAGAGTCCAGAAAAAGGTGGCCCGGAGACTTGACCACAATTCTGCTTCCCAATGTGGCATTTCTGTGAGTAGAAGCCAACCATGAGGAGTCCTTGGGGGCTTATCCGTGGGCATTTGAGACGTTCACCGTTAATGAGAACAACTGAGTAGCTTGTTGAAACCTAGAGCTACATGGGACCTAGAGTGAGCCTAGAAGCATGGCTTACACTGACATCAGAATTAAAGCACCTCATGGACACAGCTGAGTCAGCAGCCTGCCATGGGCACGCTGAGTCAGCAGCCCCTGAGCATGGGTGTCTCCATGGCCTAGCCCAGTGACCCCTGGTTCGAATCTACACTTAGAGTAAAGTCCACCATTTTAGGAGAATAGCTTCTAATCTGTCTTGGGGCATAACACAGATTAAGTCCACATCCACCCACCAACACAGAACCGCAAATGTTTACGGACAATCACATGTCCAGACACATGCTCATCCAGGTGTGCACATCTACACCCACTCACGTACTCTGACCCTACCCTAGTCAAAAACATAGACCAAGCCAGGACTCACTAATATCCCAGTCTCTCTGGCCATGGTTTGTTGACTCTTCCTTTAATCTGTAACTTTTCCTTGTCCATCCATGCTTACCTGGAGAGTCCATCTCTAGGGACCTCTCAAAAACATTAACTTCCCGGCACTGTTCCAGCTTCTAATGCCCTCTACCAAGGTCCCAATGCTCCTGAGCAGGAGCTGGAGGCAGCCTCCTCCTCTTGTTAGGTCTCCAAGAAGCTTGTCTAGGAAGTGGAGCTGCCGAAGTGGAGCAGGTCTTCTCCTCTAGCTCCTGTGTGGAGCTGGGCAGACTGCCATCCAGCCATGGCAAAGTCTTGCTCTTCGCTCCATAGCAGAGCAGGGCAAGGAGCGAGCCCCCAGGGAGAAGCTGTGTACAGCTCCGGCTCCAGTAGAGGCAAAAGTTCCTGCTCCCTAATTTCACCCCCCAGGATTTCTCTTCAGGACCAGCCCCTAACCCCTCCAAGACGCCCAAGCTAAGAATTGAGTGGGTTCTGCCACCCAGACTCAGACGTTTCAGCCATGCTTTGGAGAGTCACCCACTTGCCCACCAAAAATACCTTTCTCTTCCTTCATCCCCTAGACCTTGGCTGAAGAACCCAAGACCACCCATGACAGACACCAGGTTGTTTCTTTGAGATTTTGATCAAGGGGTGCCCTTTACTTGTTGCTCCCTACTGCTGGCCTCTAATGAGACAAGAGAGCACCCAAAAACAAGCAACCCCTCTCTATTCCTGGGGCTCTCCCTTACCCTGGGCTCTGCAAAGTCCCTTGGCTTCTTCATCTGCACCTCACCCTCATCCAACCTAGTGACCTTCCACTCTGTGCCAAACACCTCAAAACGATGAGGCTTTTGACCAAGGAGGAAACTGAAGTGGAGAAGAGGGAGACTTGTCTTTGGCCACTTTAAGCATCAATAATTTGGGCTTTATTGGTATTAAAGAAAAACTCTAGGCAGCCATGTTCTTCCTCCCCTCTCCCCTAAAGCACGGAATGTCTGGGAAGGCCCAGTTTCCATGGCATGACTACATTCCCAGTACCGAAGTACGGACAATATTTGCTGTGTTGACTAAAAATTAACCCAGCCTGCCTGTTCCCTAACCCTGTCCCGGAGGGACCTAATGCCTGGTTTAGGAACTCCCTGTCCCAAGCTTGACCTCTCCATCGAACATCATTCTCTTGGATTTCAAGAATCGAGGATGTGAAATTGTAGACTTATGACGCATGCACCGGTCCCCACCTCTGGTGGCCTTGGTAGTGCTGATCCCCAACCTGTCACAAAGGAAAGCAAGGCAGACTGGAAATGGAAGGGACAACCTGGCCCTAGAAAAAAATAAGATGAAGAGCTCGTGCCAAAGGACCACTTACTTAGATGATCATCTGGAGCTCAGTCCCAAGAGCAAAGAGCGGGAAGAATAGACTGACACCTTTGACCAAATGAGTTCCGGGTCCCAAACCAGGAGACTGAGAAGGGACAATGGCCTATTGACAGTGTAAGGAATGAGATAGGGGCTGAGCCTTGCTCAGTATTTCACCAGAGACCCTGCAAGGCTCTGTGGGTACTCCTCCCATGATGCAAAGGTGTCAGGTCATGACAGGGAAGTACTGTGATGACTAGAAAGCATTGACCTTAGCTTGCCAATTGAGTGTCTAATGTCAGCCAGGTGGTGGTGGTGCACACCTTTAATTCCGACACGGAGGAGGTAGGGCCAGGCGCATCTCTGTGAGTTTGAGGCCAGCCTGGTCTACAGAGAGAGTTCGAGGACAGCCAGGGCTACACAGAAAAACCTTATATTGGAAAAAAAAAAAAAAAAGTCTGTGTCCAGGGTCCTTCTGGTTTCTGTTTTTACCTCTTCACACAGCTGTATCCGTGGTGTGGGTAGAAGACAAGTCCAGGAAGTGAGAGAATTAGTGACTTGGGCTCTGAATTCCAGAACAGACCTACAGGCACCCCACTCCTAGACTTCTCTAGAAGCTGACTTGCCTCACATCCACAGAACAATCAGACACTGTGCCGGGCCTTCCTAACCCCCAAGGGGATTGGTTTTTCCGTCGCGATGTAGGGATGTTTCTGTTCAACCGGAAGAGAAGACTCTTGCAGCTCTCTTCTGGCTGGTGCTCAAGTTGAGGTGAGAGGAGACTACCAGCCATCTTCACCTGCTGCTAGATGCCCACTAGCTGGTAGAGGGCAAAGTAGGCATCCTAAACGCAGCCCTCCCTCCTGGTCTCACTGCCCCAAGATCAAGGACTCACTCTCCCAGGACCCCCTCCCCCTCCAGCAACGCTGGGTGCCAGTCTGGCACTTCTCCCAGAATATTTCTGCTGACCCATCTCTCCTTGGCCAGGGGCAGGAAGGGCAGAGAGGCAGCCCTGGGGTCCACCTCCTTCCTGTTTTCCCTGCATCCTGCTTTCCTCGACTTATAAACTGCTGAGGGTTGAGGAAGTGGATCGGTCTGGGACCCAGAGCAGGAAGCTCAGGGCCGAAGTCCCAGCATCCGGACTGCAACAATGGAAGAATCAAGCACCAGGAAAAGAGGGGGGCACACACAGGGGCTCAGAGAGAGCCAGGCTGTCCGAGAAGGGGGAAACAGACAGACAGAACGTCCAAAGGGTAGCAGATATGTAGGAAGAGTCACCAACAGAGACATCAAAAGAGCAACAGAGTCTGAGACAAAAGTCTGAGAGGTCATCAGAAAAACAGACTAAGGCAGAGCAAGGGAAGGAAACTAATGAGGTTCAGGAGACCGAGAAAAAGAGAACTCGGGACCGTTGGGTGCAGCTGGAAGTTGAGAGACAGACACCGCAGGAAATCACAAAAGGACAAGAGAGGGATTCTCAGAAGAAACCGAGAAAGGCCCACCGAGAAATGGAGAAATAGAAAAGTAAATACAAGACCGGAGCAAGGGACATTTTGAAAATCTGTCTGCTTGTCGATCTGTCCTCCTCTCCTCTCAGTCCCCAACAATCAAGGTTTCTGCAACTCTGGGCCGACAGCCAGCGCTTCCCTCCAGACCCCTCAGATGGCACCTGCCAGAGGAAGGAGCGAGAAACCTGGATGTGCCAGCCTGGCAGAAAGAACGCTGCCTTCCACTGCGTTGAGGGCCTTCGGGGAAATACAAATCTCCTTCTTTATTATTGAAGTCCCTCTGATTTTATGTCCCACTTCACCCCAGGGTGATGACTGAAAAATCACTGGTTCCTCACACCTTTGGGTTTCACCTGAAACTGGGTGTGGATCGGGCCCTGGTTCAGGAACAGAAAGGGACCGTCCCAACACACACCCACCCCCCCCCCCAACCCCCCCCCCACACCATCGCAGTTTTCTGGCTCTGGATGATAAATATAACTGAATCAGGTCATTTAACTTACCATAATCGCCTCAGGCACCAGGCTTACCACTGAGGCCGAGGCCTCTCTTCCCAAAGAAGCACCTGGGAGGTTTGAGATGAAGGGATGGGACCAGGTTCCCCTTGACCAGTGACAACTGGCCCTGGGATTCAGTGCCAATTTTCTTGGCTGTGCCTGTCAGCTCTGCCACGTACCTCCCTTCTCCTCAACTCACTGGGAGCTTTTTACCGGCCTTCCAGACCAACCAGGATGGGAGCCAAGTTGCAGGGAGGAGGGCTCTTGGGAAAGGTGGTAAAGAAATGGTAGGTATGCCTTACCAGATGACTGCAGGCTTTCCTGGATGGCCTCGATCTCGGACAGCTCCGTGCACACTCCCTGCCCATGCATCAGTGTGCGCAGGGGCTTCTCCACTCCCCGGGGCGGGTAGCAGCGCATGCCTGAGCCACAGCGTGGGGTGTACACCCCGCAGGGCATCCCCAAGCCCAGGGCACAAGTGGCGCAACAACCGCAGCCGGGCTCCCGCACCAGCTCCTCGCAACCCACAGGGGGGCGGCAGCGCGCCAGCTTCTCCTCGGAGCAGGGTGGGCAGTGGATGGCTTCGTCGCCCAAGCTCGGCCAAGGCCCTGCGGCCAGCAGCAGGACGGCCACGAGGCCGAAGGGCAGCATGGTGAGGACGAAGATGGAGCACGGAAAGGGAGCGCGGGCTCGCGAGCTGGCTGCAAGGGACCCGGAGGCAGCAGCGCCCAGTGCGCTTAGAGGACCAGACCGGAGGGCGCGGGGACACGGGGCGGCCCCGGCAGGCAGGGAACCGAGCTGGGGAAGTTAGCAAGCACGCTGGAGCGGAGCGAGCCTAGCCACCGAGGCGCTGCGCTGCATCCTCGGCCCGGCCCAGCAGGCGGCGGGGGCAGGGGGCTGAGCAGCTGCCCGGGACCGGCTCCCGGGACTTTATACCGGCCCCCTGGCCACACCCCCAGCGCCGTCCCTGAGGTGGGAGAGCAGGGGCGGGCGAGGGGGAACTGGAGCGGGAGAGGAGGCCGTTAGGGGGAGGGGGCGCTGGCCTGAGTCGCAGCCACCGCTAGAATATCTGAAAGTCCTTTGCTCCGCAGAAAACAAAAAACAAAAAAACCGGCGCGGTTTGGAAGCGGTGGCCGGCGTGCAGAGCGCCTCTGAGCCTCTGAACCAGAGCCCTCGGAGGATGGGTGCGGGAGGCAGGGCGAGGGGAGGCGAAGGAGATGCTGCTTGGTCCCGTTCCCCCTACCCCCACCCCCACCCCGACCTCGAAGGATTCCTTTCCAGACACCTAGGCGACCCTCACGTTCAGTCCCCCTCCTTGGCCGGAGGTGGCCACCCCACCCTACTCCCCGGTACGTCCAGTCTCAAGCTCTGGAGACCGCCCTGAGTGAGGTGGGGCAAGGCGGTCAAGCACTCTACAAGGGGTTCAGGAGGGCCCCAGGCTTGGGGCGCTTCCTGATCGGCAGTCTTCTCGCTGCACCCTGCTTCCCTAACTCCAGGACAAGGTGCCAAGCTTTTTCCTCCTCCTTAGATGTCTCCCCCTCTACTGCCTCGCTTAGATTCTGGAAGGAGACTGGCCTGGGAGACTGACATTGGCCGTGTACAAGATGTGCGTTGAACAACCCCAGAGGGCACCACTCTTTGTGTATTTGTATTGTTATTGTGACCGTTTCCCAGTAGGTGGCAGTCAAAGATTTCCAGAAAGGGAAGCCTCTTCTTCATTTTCCCGACGCCACTTCGCCCCTGGGCGACACCCTATTGATAAGCCTGTCTATCAATAAGCTACAGCTCGCAGCAATCCTGTTGGAAGTGGGAGTAGATCTACAGACCCACCTCCTACCTTCCTTCTCGTTTCTCCCTACGCCTCTCCATCCTCCCCAACTGAGGAGTTAGTTTCTGTCCGGGCATATTCGGAGGCTCGGTGGATTTGGGGGGCAGATGGGGTCGGGGGGGTCTGGCCTAAACTTCTAAGGAGAAATCAAGCTAAAGTGCAGCTCCTAGATCTCTTCCTGTTCTTTGTCCCCCAGGCAGGGTTCTTTCAGCCGGGGGATTAAGCCACCTCCCATTTTCAGCATACGCAGAATGTTGGCGGGGTTGGAGCAAGAAAGGCGCCAAGAGCCCGGACCTGGAGGCCAGACCAAAAAGTTGCGAACTGACGGCACCTACCGGCAACCCTTAAGACTGCAGGAGGGCTGACGTGTTCCGGTCGGACACAAGGACTCTCAGTCACATCTCAAGGATAAAGTTGGCTCCCCACTGTCCCATCTGCCTTGGAGGAAGGTAAACAGAACAGGTTCTTCAAGCTCCTGAGGAAGCCAGCGTTTTTTCTGGTTCAAAAGCCAGTCCCTGCTCCTTCCCACCCCCCCTCCCACCCGTTCTCTTCCTTAAATCCAGTCGGCCTTCTACTTAATGGATGAACTTGAAGTCTATCTCTAGTTAAAAGGAAGGCTGATTATGACCCCCTATTCCACCCACCTCTTGGAACTCCTGTGGGAATAAATGGACCCATAAGGACAGTTTTGAAGTCCAGTGCCCAACTCGCCTGCCAGACAGCAAACCCAGGATGAGTTTGGTGATGAGTGCTGGTGAAGGTGGCCGGTCTGTACAGAATTCTAGATGAGACAGATGCCCCGACTCCTCAACCGCGGCACCTCCTCCGCCCCCAACCCATCCTCTGGTGTCCTTCCCATCACTGCCTAGATTCATTCCCAGGAAGCCAGAGACCAAAAACTGTTCTTTCCACATATGGTACGTTCACTAAGCACCTGTTGTCTTGAGAATAAAGTGAAGACCAAAACCACTCTGCCTCAAGGAGAGAGGAGATCAGTGTGTAATGAAAAGAAGTTTTCTTTCTTTCTTCCTTTCTTTCTTCCTTTCTTTCTTTCTTCCTTTCTTTCTTCCTTTCTTTCTTCCTTCCTTCCTTTCTTCCTTTCTTTCTTTCTTTCTTTCTTTCTTTCTTTCTTTCTTTCTTTCTTTCTTTCTTTCTTCCTTCCTTCCTTCCTTCCTTCCTTCCTTCCTCCCTCCCTCCCTCCCTCCCTTGCTTTCTTTCTTTTCTTTTCTTTTTTTCTAAACAGGATTTCTCTGTGTAGCTTTTGATGCCTGTCCTGGGTCTCGCTCTGTAGACCAGGCTGCCCTCAAACTCACAGAGATCCACCTGTCTCTGCCTCCCGAGTGCTGAGAGTAAAGGTATGCACCACCAGTGCCCAGCAAAAAATAAGTTTTCTAAGACATGTACAGGTGCCCTGGGAGATATTTCTGTAGGACACATGGGGACCTAGAGGCACAAGCAATCAGCTCTACCTATGGTGCATGAGAAATGTTCACTGAAGAGGTGACCTGAGACCAAGTTGTAGCAGAGCCTTTTATTGTTATGTGAGCTTTTGTCTGCAACTTAACATTTTTTTTTTTTTTTTTTTTTTTTTTTAAGACTGATTTATTTATTATGTATACAGAGGAGGGCGCCAGATCTGATTACGGATGGTTGTGAGCCACCATGTGGTTGCTGGGAATTGAACTCAGGACCTCTGGAAGAGCAGTCAGTACTCTTAACCTCTGACCCATCTCTCCAGCCCCCAACATCTTTTTAAAAAGATTTATTGGCCAGAGAGAGAGGTGTTAGTGGCACATGCCTTTAGTCGCAGCACTTGGGAGGCAAAGGCAGGTGGATCTTTGTGAGTTCAAGGTCAGCCTGGACTACAGAGTGAGTTCCAGGACAGCCAGGGCTACACAAAGAAACCTTGTCTCTAAATGCCCCCTCCAAAAAAAAGATTTATCAGTATTTATTTATTTTGAGACAAGGTCTCATTATATAGCCTTTGCTGGCCTGGAAGTCACTACATAGACCAGGTTAGCTTCAAACTCATAGAGATCCACCTACCCCTGCCTCCTGGAGTGCTAGCATTGAAGGCATGTGCCCCCAAGCCCAGCTACTTTTTATTTTTAATTATGTGTATAAGTGTGTGTGTGAGTATGTGTGTGTGTCAGGGTGGGTATGTGTGTGTGTGCAGGTACTCACAAAGGCAGAGGCATCAGATATTTGAGAGCTGGAGTTATAGGCGTTGTAAACCACCTGAGAACTGGTTCTGGGACCTGAACTGGCATTCTCTAGAAGCTGAGAGCCATCTCCTTCCAGGTCCCCACTTAACATTTAAATGGGTAACTTTCATCACTGAAGAAGGAAGGGAGATAAGAAAGGAAGAGAGAGAGGCAGAGAAAGAGTGAGAAACAGGGGCAAAATCCGTGGGCTCAGCCACAGAGAATGGTTCGAAGAAAACATGAGGCAATAGATGAAAGGGCTCTGAGAACTGGACCTGTAGCTTAGCGGTAGAGAGCTTGCCAAGCATGCATGAGGTCCCAGGTTCAAATCCCTACGCCCCACCAAAGTCATTTTAACCAGGCATGATTGCCCATGCTGGTTACTCCCAGAACCTAGGATAGGCCAGCCTGGGCTATACAGTAAGACTCCGACCATTCGACCATTACCACCCCGAAGAAGAAAAAGAGGAGCCTGAAATCCAGGCACAGGGCTTATTGCAGGTTCTTCCACCTGACTGCTGCCTCCTTGTGGACTGATGCTTCCATATTGAGCCTGTGGGAAGCAAAACTCAAGCCTGTTTCCGGGCTGTCTTTTCCGGGCAGGCGAGAGCTTGCACGTCCCCCCCTTCCTGAGAGCTGGGAAGACACTCCACCTGGCGCCCAGATGAAGAAACCCCTCCACCACTCCAGCCCCTTCCATTCCATTCTCTCACTGGCTTGTTGATCAAAGCTCTCATTAGCTGCTTTACTGGGACAATCCCAGACTTCTGTGGCACACGCCTTTAATCCCAGCACTTGGGAGGCAGAGCCAGTAGATTCTCTGTGAGTTTGAGGCCAGCCTGGTCTATACAGTGAGTTCCAGGACATCCAGGGCAACAAACACAGTGAGACCCTGTCTCAAAAAAATAAAATAAAAAGTTCTGTTCTCAGGGAACACCCAATCTGATAAGCTTGCCCTAGGGGCCATCTTGTCTGATGGAGTGGACAAAATATATAATTATGAGGATTAGCCTTTAACTACTACTGACCGGGGCCACACAAGCATCATAGAGGAGGAGGCATTATCAGTGTTGTCTTTTTAAGACAGGAAAAGTGAGGCACATAGGGATTATGTAACTTACTCAAAGTCACATAGCTAGTAGAGAGACAAAGATGCGAGCCTAAGCGCTCTCTCTCTCTCTCTCTCTCTCTCTCTCTCTCTCTCTCTCCAGTCTGCACAATTACCACCTATACATCACTGCTGTCTCAGTCAGCTGTCAGAAACATGCTACATGACCATCAAGGGCAGAAGCCTAGGACTCAGAGTTCACGCTGAGCACGGAGGTCAGGTGGAGGTGGCATTGGTGTGGGATCGTGCTCCAGGCCTCCTTATAACTTTGCTTTCCAGCCCACTCCTGACCGCCTTGGACTTCACTGAGTCTACACTAATCCTTTATATCCACTGACATCTAAGTACTGATAGGGGAGCCCCACAGTTATCCCACGTGTGGGCCAAGCAATAGCATATCAGGACAGCCTTCTTCCTGCCCACCAGGGCTCCATACTTGCAGGATCTTCAAACAGGCCCCACAATACAAAGAGGAGAACTTTTTTTTTTTTTTAAGACTTATTTATTTATTATGTATACAGCATGTATAACTGCACACCAGAAGAGGGTGCCAGATCTCATTACAGATGGTTGTGAGCCACCATGTGGTTGCTGGGAATTGAACTCAGGTCCTCTGGAAGAACAGTCAGTGCTCTTAACCTCTGAGCCATCTCTCCAGCTCCCCCCAAAAAGGAGAACTCTTGTCCAGCCCATCTCCAGAGCCTGGGCTCTTCCCTCAGGACAGGCCGAGGCTCCGAGCAGGGAAAGAGGTGGGAAGAGGGGAGTCCCTATGCACTTAGGCTGGCCAACATCCTGTTTCCTAGCTCCAGTCCAGCCCGTTCAGCTGCTTGTCAGCTTCGTGACCACTTCCTTCTCCACACTTCAGTTTTTACCATTTGTTCCATGGATTGGGAGAACCAATTGCCTTGGGAAGCCCTGTCCTCTTCTGGCAATCTCGGAACATTAGAATTCTGGAGTGTTTGGTGGTTTGTTTTGTTTTTCGAGACAGAGTTTCTCTGTGCAGCCCTGACTGTCCTGGAACTCACTCTATACCAGGCTGGCCTCGAACTCAGAGATGCAGCTGCCTCTGCCTCCCGTGTGCAGAAATTAAAGGTGTGTACCATCACCACCACACGGCAGAATTCTGGAGTTCTTTGGCAAAGTCCAAAGCACCCTTCTGACATGGCTCCCAACCCTCCAGAGTCCGCATTGTCTCCAGACCAATAGGCACCAATGAAACTTCTTTCTCTTGGCTGAAGCCGATACAGAAGACAAGTCAAATGAACAGTGTTGGACTCATTGAGAACTCTGTCACCACCCAGAGTTCTCACCCAAGGGCACACAGGTAGCAGATGACCCAGCAAGGTCTGTGTGTACCATATCAACTTTCTGTGCACACTCCTGCCTCTGTACCAGACCTGTCACCACAGGTTCAGGTCTCAAGGTATGTGTTGAAGCCTGGGTTGTCTTACAAATAGGTTTAAATCACATTTAGTCTCATATGACCTTAGGCCAATCTTTTAACTGCCTGGAACTCCATCTATATCATGGGTTTATAGGGTTGCCATGGTAACTAATGATCACAATGGCTAATGTACTGACACCAACCCTGCCAGACATAGTGTCAAGTGAGCATCATCCCTGCAGTTTTGCCCAGTCCTCTCAGGCAGGGCTGACGTTATCCCTCAGCTACAACCGAGAGCATTTGAGGATAAAGAGAAGATATCACTTTGCCAAATCTCAGAGCTAGTTAATAGCAAATCCAGGAATCACTTTAGGCAATTTGGCTTCCAACTCACTTGGCTGGTCATTGTTAATACTCACTGGATACTTACTACGTGTTGGGTACCATTTTGAGCACACATACACAGAGGTACCAGAGTCCTGGGTTTTTCTCAATCCTAGCAGCATCTCCTCCCATCATTGGTCAATGCTGCTAGGGCTAAGCCCCTGTCCCTCTAGCTGCAGTGCCAAGGTCCCTGTGTCCAAGACGGATGTGTCTTTCCAATGAGCCAGCTGTGGAGCCAACCTGACAGTTCTGGTCTTCTCAGCTCTGGAAGCAAGATCTAACCCCAGCTGTGGGAAGGAAGGCAGGGTCTCAGAGGGAAGGACCTTTCCCACTTCTCACTCCGAGAATCTCTTCTGCTACAGCCTTGTCCTTGGCCTAACAGAAGGAGGAATACTCTGAAAGATGACTGACAGGTGGGGACTGGAGAGTTAAGGGCAGGACTATGTGGCCCCAGAAACAAGGCTATAGTACCTGAATCCCCTAATCACATAGCTCCCATCTTTACCCCTGAAGCCTGGCCTCACTCCCTCAGTCTACTGTTGTTTCCACAGTAGCAAACCTCCAGACCTATTGAGTCAGATTCTTATCCTACTTAGTCATGATGACATGACGTTAAGAGCATCAGAAAACTGGGCCCTATGGTAGCGGGAACCCAGTAGGCCAACAGTGGAGAAGATCTCTGTTCCCGGATTTGTGTGCAGCAACTGTGAGATTGAGAGCCCCGGTTTCCTGCTGTCAGAGCCCAGGGTTCCGAGGCCAGCTCTGTCTTTATCAGCTGGGCCCTGTGAGCTTCCCTCTTCAGTAAGATTGACCTCAGTTTTGACGTCTGTAAAGCAATGATTCTGGTCCTGAATTCACTCTGTAAGACTGCTAAGAAGGAGCAGATGGG